CCTATTCATATCTGCCAGTACCAGGATAACCTGTAACGTCATGGGAGTTGCCGAACATCTGCCAAGATCTGCAATCAATGTGGTGGAATTTTTAAATCATTTCATCCACAAATAACATGGGTTGAGGAAAAAAGTATTCCAGTACTTCCAAGCTAGATATTCAGGAATGTGAGAAATTAGCAGTTTATACGAATTACCTTCAGAGGAGTACGTTCGCGGATTTCGTTCGCAGGCGGAAATTTGGGATCTGTTTCTATTTAAATACTCAATATCTATTGAAAAAAAAAAATTCAAGGGTGACGATAAAGACGTATTTCATTTTTATGATTATGAATATTGTTACAATTTCGATGGTAGTCACACTCACAGTCCTATTAACCATATTGGCAATGATTGTTGAGAATAAAAATAAGCTTTAGTATAAACTATGTTTTATTCTCCTGAGAATGACAGAGATGAAGCCACCATTGATCTCTGTATACCACCAACCCAAACCCACAGTCAAATAGCGCCAGCGCACACTTAACATAAATATCATGCAACTTATATTTATGTTCCAAAATTGTATCAAGATTATTTTCATTCCAATAATTTTTGAAGTGAAACTTCTTAAACGGCGTTCTGCTATTTGGACGACAATGGAGAGTGATTTTAAAAACGCGTCACGGGCAAATTTCGTTACTCGAGAGAGAAGAAAGATGTAACGTAAAGGAACAGAGAAAGACAGCTATTGATTGACACAAACCAAGGATTATAAGCGTCGAGAGGAGTGCCCATTATTGACAAGCGCCGATATTGACACAAACCAAGGATTATAAGCGTAAGGAGGATTGCCTATTATTGGAAAAATAAAATCATTTCTGGCGAATTTCGGGGTTTTCCGGATATCTCTGGACAGCACTCGGAATTTTTGAAATATCAAAGCAGCATATTAGGGACATAAAGCTACTTGAAATAATTTGCCGGTATCGGTACCGGTATCCGTAACGCAACTAGATACGTTGACAAGCGAAAAGGCTGTTAAAGCGATCCCTGTTCCGGTAAACGTAAACGCATCTCAATATCTAGACATTTTTGTGTCAAAACTCCGGCGCTTTTATATCTAACCTTAAAATTGTTATTTTTTTTTGCGATAGAGAAGCACTACACACAAAAAAACTCAAGAAAGTATAAACTAAACAAATTAAATCAACCCGGAAGAAAAGTGAGGTTATATTTATTTAAAATTTGTCACAGGCGTCAGGAATGTCAAGATGCGTTACCGATACGGATACCGCGAGAGGGCCGTAACGTTACGTTGTACGTACGGTATCTCGGCCTCCGTATCACTTCTGCACATGCGCAGTACGATACCGATATGGATACCGACCAAAAAATATGGAAGCTTTATGTCCCTAATAATGAGCACAAAGTTGCACTATACTTTTTTCTGATTCAACCGACGTCGGGTCTCTTTCCGTAGGATTCCAATACAGGATTCGAATAGGATTCAAAATACCTAGTATTCGAATGCTACCCAAGTCTCCCAAAGTACCAAGTGTTATCACAGGAGTTTATTCAAAACATGCCGCATTAGTAATAAATATCAAACTTCAAAATTGTATAACAGGAGACTTTCTCATTGAAATGAAGCATTACGTTGATAGACTTGATACTGTTTATAATGCCAATCCCCACTAAGTATACATGCCCCAGATGTAAGGGTGAAACTGATATACCCAATCGACTTTGTTTGCCTTGCGAATTTTCACAATTTGTTGAACAAAAAAGGATACCAACTCACTATTTTGCAAAACTCGAACGTAGAACCTAAATTATGAAGTTGTACTAGTAAATTTTCTGCTAAATAAAACTTTTTTCTCCAAACGTCAAAAAAACATCACTTTGTCAACACCTGTCAAGATGGTAGAAATTCAATTTCTATGTTGCTAGGCAAATCCAGGAGGTTAAAACCTGTCGAGGTGGTAGAAATTTAATTTCTATGCTGCTTGGCAACCCCAGCGGCAGCAAAAGTACTTTTGGTGCCGCTGGAGCGGCGGTAAAAGAACTTTTAGTGCCGCTCGTACTTTTACTGCCGCTCAACCATCCAGTTACCCCCGAGCTTACCACATTCGTTTGGAGAAAAAATAGCGTGTTGCATATGGAGTAGAAGCACTTTTTTGTGCTTCAGCAGTATTGCAAGCCTCACTACGTTCGGCTCGCAAACCCACTGCTTCAGCACAAAAAAGTAAAGCTTCTACTCCTAATACAACAATATACTATTGTTATAATATTTTTCTGCTTTTTATTTATGGCCTCTAGACTAGGTTAGGCTATAATAATTTAAACAAAATTCAACGAGAGCATTGTGCACAACATTAGGATAGGCCATCGAATACTATATTGTTTAGCTTTTTTAAGTCGACACTTTCCGTATGGGGAGCAAAAGAAGGAAGGATACGGTAAAAACAGGTGTGAGATCAGGTGACCATTGACGCACAATCGTAGGGAGCCACACCAACTCATATTGGAGTATCAGCTAGGGGATTCTTATCTTGTTACAAGTCGCTACGGCTCGCTAGCTGTCATTCGATATCGGATGGAGAGTGATTCATATGTATTATTGTCGAATTTCGTATCGACATCAAATAGACGGTGGTATGAAAAACGAGAGAAAAATCGACCTTCAAATTTGAATGATAGATGATGGATTATGTTTATTATTTTATAATTTATTTTTCGCTTCAATTCAAACTATTTTTACTTCTAAAGATTCATTTTCGCGTTGAAAATAATTTCAATTTTTAATTATTATGTTGCAACGAAATCTTAAGGCAGCACCGTCAACAGCAAAACCTTCACTTTAGACGCACGACTCGTAGGGTAGGAGAAACTTGATTTATATTTTTCTTCCTGTCTCTCAACTCTACACTCCCGTATTCCTTATGTGAGAATGACCGCGTACACCAGCACTCTACATGTTGAGTGATTAGTCAGCGGATTTGTTGAAAAAGATGAAATATAACGAAGGATTACATACACAAACGTCAAACATAAAACAAAAACACAACACATGACACCACAACTTGTCACTTCAAAATAAAAAAGGATCAAGCAAATCGAAAAGCCGAAACGGGACCTCTTGAGGTGTCGAATCAATTTGATAGGACTTACGTCAGAGAGTCGATACCGAACTAGCATAAGAATCAGCAATTCGACATCGAATTGGACCGCAGGATTATAAATGATGGACTGTATACACATGCAATTTAATTCATTTTACCTACTTATCAATAACTGATAGACCGTGCCTGACTCATCCATATAATATTATAGGTCCTGCAAAATATTAATGAAACCGAACAAATAGACTGCATACATAAAACGTCCATTTTATGTCATATTTACGTTCATACGTCCATATGACCTATTCAGAACGTACATAAGACGTACATTTTAGTAAAAACATTCATATTACGTACATTTACATCAACCATTTTGGTTTTATGTTAAAGTGTAAAATACAAACAGGTCACTGTTTATTTATTTAATTCATCGTGTCTAAGTTTAACTTTGTTTGAATCTCTGTTGATCCTAGTATTTCAAATCATTGGCTTAGAAAATCGTGTGTTTATTTTAGTGGCATGCAGACGTAATAATTAAAAATTGATAAAAAAATTTCTTGCCTCGACTGGGATTGGAACCCAGGACCTTTGCATTTCCAGTGCAACGCTCTAACCAACTAAGCTACCAGGAGCTGTTTCATTTCTACCTTTTCGAATGTCGATCAAATCTGGAACGCGAAATAAATGAAAAATAGTATAGAAGGACTATCCACACAGCGTTTTTATGCCTAGGAAGTTTATCGATACCGTGGGAAAATATCTAGATCAACGATGCATTTGATCTGAAATTTCGGGGTTTGACCCGGACCAAACCCAAATTTTTGGGGAGTTTCCCAGAATTCGACCGCAGCTCCTTATCTCATGCTATCATCCTCAAAACACAGTTATCGTCCCGCCATCGGGCGTCATCTTCGTCGTCGTCTCGTCATCGATCGATTGAAAAAAGTCTAGCCGGGGAATCGAGACCTCAGACCATCACACCAAAATCCAGCACTGTAGACAAGGCAGTAGATCATTGAGTAATTATTGATAAAAAATGTTTGTAAGTAAAGTCTATACGAAGTCACTTGGACTAGCATAAAAACTAACTAAATCCCGGCATCCGTCGGCTTTTTCTTTGTCAAACATGTGCGGCGTAATTTCAAAAAACAGTAGGGGAGAGTAGTACACAATGGATCAATTTTCGGGCTTAATTCTTTTTGGCAAAACTGAATAGGATCTTGGTTTATGTCTAAAAAAGTCGAATTAAATAGATAAATGCTCTAGAATTACTAGAGCGAGTAAATTTGGTGATTTTTTGTTGTATCGATAATTGAGGGGGTCAGAAGTAAAAGGGTTTAAGTGCACTTTTTATAAAAAATGATTTAAGTGCATAATTATATAGTTGAAAGCAATTATTATTTGGTAGTGAAAAGATTCAAGTGCATTTCGCGCTATTACTGACATCTATCAACCCAACAAAAAAACTTAAGCAAAGGGATATTGATTTCATTTGGAAGTAAATGGATTCAAGTGCACTTGAACCATTTAACCACACACTAACTTAGGCATAGGCGATATTCTGTGGTCAATCTTTGTGATTAAGGGTGTTCATCACTGTTATTGTTTTTTTGTTAATATCTAAATAATATAGTTTAGTTTAATTTAAACAAATGGAAAGTGACGGTGAGTATATTAAACCAAAATATTAATAAAAACTAAGATAAAAACTATAAAATACTTGTTATAATGTAAACAAAAAGCTATAGAGGTTACATTAATTTATCAATAAAAATAGGTACAACTATGCCATCTGCCCCCTATTAAAAAGGGGGCATCTTTTCAGCTTTTAACTTTGAAACCCCTCAACCAAACTACAATAAAAATTAAAACGGCTAAGTATAAAAACCTTATAAGCCTCTTAGACTACATCCCCTCCTCTACCATTCATTCTACACAAATTTGAAACATGATGCTGATGCTCAATCTACAAGTGGCACCCAACAGGTTTCAGCTCAAGATACTGAAGATAACGAAGATGAAGAAGTCAGTATGGTACTGGAATCAGATTATGAATAACATAACTACTTGTATAACCATTTTTTATTAATAAAATTTAGTTTAATGGTTGTAAAATGTTACTGTCTTTTTTTAAAACTTATAGCTTCACTTAAATCGTTTTACTTCTAATTTATTTTAAATGATAAAGTTGGTTTAAGTACATAATTTTCAAAATAGACCATATGAAAAAAAATATACAAAATAACGATTTGCCATCATTATTTCAACAATATGAATCAAATTATCCAATAAAAACCTATTTCTCAAATATTTACTGGAATTTTCAAACACTCCTAAACTTTAATGCTAATTATCTCAGAACCATCATAAATGCACTTAAACCCTTTTACTTCTGACCCCCTCAATTGATACATTGTGTACCATATACGGTACAGAATGAAACGAACAATGGTACACAGTGACACTACCTGTGGTGTACAATAAAACGCTAAAAATTTGCAAAATAAATATTTATTTCTAATTGAACAACAGTAGACAATGTTCTCAAATGTTTTTCCAAAATCAAGCATGAATTCTAAAAAATTGTTATATTATTTCAAAAACAAATCCGCACTACCCCGTTTGTTAGTTTTCCAGCTTTTCAGGAGATTTTATTTTATTTCTATTTGCCATCTCGTATGTAAGTTTTCTTACTTTTGTTGTATTTTTTCTACTTTTGTTGTATTTAATCCATATGCCATTTCACTTCATTTTTTAATATATTTGCATAATGAGTCTTCTTAAACCTGTGAAAAAATAGCTCTCACAATGGCTCTCACGGAAAAATTCGGATCCATTTTTTGCATTTGGGTCTTCTCGTTTCTTCAATATCTTATTCTTATAGGTTGTTAAATTTGACATTATACATTTCTGCGGCTTGTCTCAATGATGTGCCACTATCACGAACTTCTGCTACAGCAGCTGCCATGCCCTCTAAAGTCAAAGTAGCCCATGTCCTCTCTTTCTTTTTTCGGACCATAATGAATCCAAATAAACAAACAAAAAAAAAGCTATATTTTATTATTGTAAGGCATATGCGTACTACACCATTAAATATTGTTATAACATTACAACTAATACAATATTATGTTTAATAAAAAACAATGTTTTAGAAAATGTTTTCAATGTGGTACACAATGATACATGTATCATTGTGTGCTACCGTTTATGTTTCATTGTGTACCACTGGGCACCTGCTGATATTCAAAGTAAAAAAACACGTTAAATATTCTTGAATCAATCTGAAATTATTAGGTTATGTTGCCAATAAACTCCCTGTCCTAAATGTATCACTCCCAAACAATAAAAATAATATAAAAAAATATCAAACTTTTTTACAACAAAATTCAGGAAAAAACTTCAGGGTCCAAAAAACACAATTTTGTTTGCCACTTTTATCAAAATGCCGGTATCACCGCCAAAATACACTGAATGAAGTGGTTAACACTGACGTACGTTGGGTCGCGGTGAAGTCAATGTGGCGCGAAATTTAAACGAAATAATTGGAATGTTTCATTGTGTACTGCGTTTCATAGTGTACTACTCTCCCCTACTAAAATTAATAATCAATAGACAGTATGTCAATCAATCATGATCGGCAATGGCCAATCAGATCTATTGAGTCCACGTTTACTGAAATCGAACGTGTACATGGAGGATGAAGCCAATCAGATAATATACCTATCCATTCTTACTTGTCTGACTTCCAACGGGTACGAGGAGCAATCAGTATAAATTTTGCTATATTTTTCAATATGTGATGCAGTATATTGACCATACCACTATTTCAGGCTTGGTCCAAGTAACTTCGTATAGACTATAAAACGTTCTAACTATACAGGTCCAGAGACAATTATAAGTATGTAGACAGCTATACAGGTCCAGAGACAGGTCCGATACAGCTTTTCGAGACAGGTCTGTCTACACAGACTGCTTTTCGAGACAGCTTTTCGAGACAGGTCTGTCTACATAGACTGCTTTTCGAGACAGGTCTGTCTACACAGACAGCTTTTCGAGACAGATCCGTCTAAACAGGCAGCTTTTCGAGACAGGTCTGTCTATAAAGACAGTTTTTCGAGACAGGTCTGTCTACACAATAGGCAGTCTACATAATAGGCAATCCTCCTTACGCTTATAATCCTTGGTTTGTGTCAATATCGGCGCTTGTCAATAATGGGCACTCCTCTCGACGCTTATAATCCTTGGTTTGTGTCAATCAATAGCTGTCTTTCTCTGTTCCTTTACGTTACATCTTTCTTCTCTCTCGAGTAACGAAATTTGCCAGTGACGCGTTTTTAAAATCACTCTCCATTGTCGTCCATATAGCAGAACGCCGTTTAAGAAGTTTCACTTCAAAAATTATTGGAATGAAAATAATCTTGATACAATTTTGGAACATAAATATAAGTTGTATGATATTTATGTTAAGTGTGCGCTGGCGCTATTTGACTGTGGGTTTGGGTTGGTGGTATACCGAGATCAATAGTGGCTTCATCTCTGTCATTCTCAGGAGAATAAAACATAGTTTATACTAAAGCTTATTTTTATTCTCAACAATCATCATTGCCAATATGGTTAATAGGACTGTGAGTGCGACTACCATCGAAATTGTAGCAATATTCATAATCATAAAAATGAAATACGTCTTTATCGTCACCCTTGAATTTTTTTTTTCAATAGATATTGAGTATTTAAATAGAAACAGATCCCAAATTTCCGCCTGCGAACGAAATCCGCGAACGTACTCCTCTGAAAGTAATTCGTATAAACTGCTAATTTCTCACATTCCTGAATATCTAGCTTGGAAGTACTGGAATACTTTTTTCCTCAACCCATGTTATTTGTGGATGAAATGATTTAAAAATTCCACCACATTGATTGCAGATCTTGGCAGATGTTCGACAACTCCCATGACGTTACAGGTTATCCTGGTACTGGCAGATAAGAATAGGCTTTTAGAGGGTTATGATCCTATTAATACTTATATTTAGAGCTTAAAGTTGTTGGAGCGTCCAGCCTGTAAGAGACATTGTTTAGTATATAACACTGCAATTGAAATGATACACACCGCTTTCTTTTTCCTGGAATTCTGTGCACTTTTTGTTCAGGATGCCTGAAAACCCAAATGAGCAAATTTATTTATTAGCAGGGGGTGGTAGTGACAGCCGGTATCTACTTCCAGTTTCAACTTGAAAGTGGTTGTGTCATATTTTAGTCCTCTATGTTATTCCGTAGTTACCGTGATTTGTTGAAGGAAAAACCAGTTCTAAAACCCCTTCTTCTCGTTTACGTGTACGCATGCGCATTTTCTGCTATCCTGGTGTGTCATAAAATCATTCAGTCCTCCGTCCGTCCTAATACTGGATAGGTATGACACAGCTAATTTCAAAACGTGCTTCACGCTGATAGGGTCCTGCTTTGATGAAAGCCGCTATGTTGCAATTCGGTTCTTGAAAGATGTTTTGACAAGACTAACGTCTTCCTCCTTCTTCAACAGGTGTTGGCTTGGTGCTAGAGACACCGAAGATGACCAACCCATTGATTTATCGGAGTTTCCAAGTCGCAATCCTCACACCACCGGCATGTGACTGCTATTGAAAGACCTGAAAATAATTAAATTAGATTTAAACAATTCGATTAATTCAACTTACCAGCAAAAGTCTAGCTTGCTTCATCATGGGGGCGGCGGGATCTCCAGCCTTTCGTTTGGAGGTCTTGGATCTGGGTGTTTTGGTGGTGTTGGATAGCCCCCTCTGCTTTAAAAATCCCACCACATTGGTTACAGATCTTGGAAGATGTTTAGCAATCCCCATGATGTTTCAGGTTATCTCCTTCCTGGTGAACGATTTTGTGCACAAAATTAAAAATTCGCTGTTTATGGAGGTTTGTTTTAAAGTAAATGAAAAAATAAAACCAAAATTTTAGAAAAAGAAATTTGAGTTTTGTGTAAATGTAAGTGAAAAAGTAAATTCAAGTTGCTCCGAAAAAAACTATTGGAATTAAATTAAGAAATAGGTACTTAGGGTTGTCTGTATTTTTAAAAAACAAACAAAATGTTTATGTGTTAATGAAAATAAAAATAATTAAAAAATCGAGGTTTTTTTAATTCAAAATATATGTCTCAGGGCATGATTTATCCTACATCACTTAGATATTTGAAAATAGTACTTACAGTTTTTCGAAACCGATACTTATCGCACAAAAAACTAAACTTTGAAAATACAGGTTCAAAGTACTGGTACTGGATGCTGCGCGTTTTGTACGGAGAATAAAAATTGAATCCTCATCTTTTACAGGTAACAATGTATCCACTGAAATTTTGTATTGCATAAGGTTATTGGCTCATAAAATGTTAACGATGCTAATTTAAATCTATTCTTTTAAATTTTGATAAATTGTTTGAATTTGTCGCCTTTTTTAAAATAAAAATGGACATATTAATATCTAACTTAATAATGACGTCTTAAACTAAAATAGTATATTATGCAATGATCATGTAATGATAGCCATTAATACACGAGCATGTTGTAGGATACGAAACGAGCCGCAGGCGAGTTTCGTATATAACATGCGAGTGTATTAATGGCCATTACATGAGAGTTGCATACAGTATTTTTTCTACTTGCAATAATAAACGAAAAATATATTTATTTTATAAGAATAGTAAACTTCTCAACTGGTGACAATTGTTGACAACTTGACAATTTCAAAAATTAAGATCTAGACGTCATTTGGGCATAAATTCCGCACCCGATTTATTAATTTTGTTGTTGTTTCTTCTAGTAAATACTAATAGAAACAATCCAAAATTCCAAAGCAAGTATGTTATTTTTATATAAACATTGTTCATGTTCAAAATACTCGAATCCAGTGGCTGAAAAATCAGTATCATAATGAAAATCTGTATCATAATGAAGTTCATTATGAAACAGATTTTAGGCGTATTATGAAACGTCAGTAGAAAAAAAAAATTATCTTTAAAATGTGTTGATGTTTTCCTCGGACGGCTTCTGCGAACG